CCAATAGTATTCTAAAATTCTTGTAGTTCAGTTAGGGCATGCAAGAGTCGGCAATGGCCATGCCACACAACTGTGTTTGCACAGCATCTCGTTAATTTACAGTTAATTTGTTGGCATCAYAAATATGTAAACAGAAGTATTTATAGAGAGAGCGAGCGAGACACAGGCCGCGTCACGCATATGTTAATTAATCAAAGTCAAACAAATTTTTGTCAATCACGCACCGCAGCGGAATCATGAAATCACCAAAGTGGCGATGCCGCGGATTTGCTGCGGCGACAGCGAAGGCCTCCAGTGGAAGCAAGTGAAGCGCATCATGCAGCAGATATTCGCTCACAGTGAGTATCCCATTGAGATCATGATCTGCGAGCATGACGACATAACCAGAGAGGTGAGTGGAGAATGAATACAGATATATGTATGTATATATGTATGTATATTCACATGTCTCTTGCCTTTCCAGCTGGCCGCGCCAAAGTGTCAGATAACCGAGGCGAAGGGCAACTTGTTTAGCGCACCGGAAGACTTCGCTCTGGTGCACTCGGTGAGCGCGGACTTTGCCATGTGCGCCGGTATCAACTTGCAGTTCCGCTGCAAATTCGGCCAGGTGGACGAGCTGAAGCGCCAGCAGCGGCACACGGGCAACGTGGCCGTGCTGGAGCAGGACGGACGGTACATCTACAATCTGGTGACCAAGGAACGGGCACACGAGAAGTGCACCTACACGGCGCTCTACTATGCGCTGCTGGCCATGCGGGAACACATGGTAATCTAGCTTAGACCATGCCATAAATGAATGACTATTAGCCAAACTGTAATTCCAATCCTCAGCGTGAGCATCTGGTCACTAAACTGGCCATTCCACGTCTGGGCTGTGGCATCGATCGTTTGGATTGGCTGCGCGTGCGCAGCCTGCTGGAGCTGGTGTTCGTGCGTGATGGCGTAGACATCATTGCCTTCTTCTATCAGCCGCCCAGCATGGAGCGCGATACCATCAAGGTGATCTGTCCCACCTGCAGCCACATGAAGCTCATGCAGCTGCCGCGCAGCGTCAGCTCCTCGCGAAACTCGCTACACAGGGAGAAGACGCCCTTCTGAGTGGCAGTTGGATATATGGGATTTCTTTGTATATATATATACTATATGTAATTCTTAATTTATAACATTCGAAATGGGTTTGCATGGGTTGCAGGGCACCAAATGCACCGTTACTTATAACTAGTTCTTAGCACAAGAAAATTACATTTATTTTACGAATATTTATATGCAATACATACATACATACATACATAATATATTGACAGCAAATAAAAAGACAACGCCTGAAGCTGGCTTTAAACGAAGAAAATGTGTTTTACAGCATGATTAATAGAGTTTACAAATATTCTATTTAGTAGGCCATGATTCAACTGTCTCTACATGTATATACATATAGGGCTATGTAATTGCTTGACAGTTCAGTTTTTGCCTGAGGCTCTCAGTATCAATTGCTCGACTTTTCACTCTCCGAAAGGAAAATAATTAAATACGAAAATGTCTTCTCTTAAAGTTGCAGAGATTCGTAACGCCTTTCATCGTTCGTTTGTGCGGAGCATGACTGGCTTCCAGTTCAACGAGGTGGATGGAGATCTCTTCTCGGCCCCGAAGACTCACTCGCTGGCCCATTGCGTGGGCGCTGACCTGGCCATGGGYGCGGGCATAGCGGTCAAATTCAAGGAGATCTACGGCAAAGTGGACGAGCTGGAGGCACAGAAGGCGCGCGCYGGGGAGCTGGCATTGCTGAAGGATGACGAGCGTTACATCTACTATTTGGTGACCAAGTCGCAGAGCTGGGCGCTGCCCACATACGAGACGTTGCAGTCATCGCTGGAGAAGATGCGCGATCACATGGTAAGCAAGTCCTTATCAATATTCATATGAGATATGTAATCTTTCATCTACTTGCCCGCAGGCCAAGAATGACGTTCATAAGCTGGCCATACCGCGCATCGGCTGYGGCATTGATGGCCTGCAGTGGGACAAAGTGAAAGCCATTATCAACGATGTCTTCCAGCGCGAGGATGTGGAAATTACGGCTTACAAYTTCGTGCCGCCACAGGAAACCCAATAATTGAATCAATTCTTAAATTTATTGTTCACAAACTCTAGTTCCTCTATTTATTTGATGGTGGTGCATAATTATAGGCGGATGTACGGTACAGCATGAAAGCCATTATCAACGATGTCTTCCAGCGCGAGGATGTGGAAATTACGGCTTACAATTTCGTGCCGCCACAGGAAACCCAATAATTGAATSAATTCTTAAATTTATTGTTCACAAACTCTAGTTCCTCTATTTATTTGATGGTGGTGCATAATTATAGACTTTCAATTCAATAGAATTCGATTGAAATATCTCTACCAGCATTTCTCGTACTTTACTCCAGCGAAGACCGTCCAGGCCGCAGCCAATCCTTGGCAGAGCCAACTTGGTAACATTATGTGCAGCCTGTTGAAGACGAAAACTGCTATATTTGCTATAACATATAACAGCAGAGCTCTTACCATATGCTGTTGCATGGCACTTAGGGAGCTGTGGAGCAGCTCATAGGTGGGTTTGCCCCAGCTGCTCAGCTTCGTTATTAAATAGTAAACGTAGCGTCCATTATCTCTCAGTATAGCCACGCCACCAGGTTTAACATTTTGCTTTTGCAATTCAGCTACTTTTCCAAATTTATTACTGTAAAAAAAATKATTGAAATTCAGAGCAATAGAAATTCGCTAAATAAACTTACCGAAACTTGACGGCAATGCCCTTGCCCATGCGCAGATCGGCGGCGACGCAATGACACATGGAATATTCGGGACCTGCCGAAAATAAGTCACCATTGACTTCTCTCAGTTTGAAATCTGACATAGTCACACTCAGCTTTAGGCTTCCATTAGAATAAAATCATTCAAGTCGATTTCCAAATATTGCCGCGCGAAAGCGCTAGACGAATCTTGACATGCGAATGGCAAGAACGGTAGAATAAACAAAACAGCTGATGAATTGGTTTTGCAGAATGGGTAAGTGTTGAAAAGTAATAAAAGGTGGGGTAGCAGCTGCAAGCTGGTAACTGTTCCAATTGAATGGATTATTGGCAGATTGCAACTGAAAGCAGAAATAAATGAATATATATTATAATAATATGTGTAAAAATAATTTATTCAAATACATAATGCATATTAAATTTATAGTTCAATAACAAATACAAAAAAATACCTTGCGATACCAGTAGTATTTAATCACAGCTGTGATATAATACCAAAAAAAAAATACCAGTGTTTGATAACAAAATTAAAGGTGCAATTTAGATAATGTAAATTAAAGTTTGCCTTTGGGTTGTTAAATGAGTTTCATTTTTAATTTTATTGCCGCTTTTGTACGCAAAATGCTGGAGCTGCTGCAAATTGGGGGCAAATTAACGCACACGCTAAGCATTTACGTGAAAACCAATACGGGTCGCACGCTGTCCGTGAACTTGGAACCGCAGTGGGACATCAAAAACGTCAAGGAGCTGGTGGCGCCGCAGCTGGGTCTGCAGCCAGACGAAGTGAAAATTATATTTGCTGGCAAAGAGCTTAGCGATGCCACAACCATCGAGGTAGGTGTGAGGTGCAATAGAATAACAGAACAATATATTATGAATTTTAATTGCAGCAATGTGATCTTGGGCAGCAGAGCGTGCTGCACGCCATTCGTTTGCGTCCGTCTGTGCGTGAGCGCAAGGCCAGCGCCCTAATGGAGGAGGAGTCAAGTCCGGAGGAGCCGTCAAAACCGTTAAATGAAACGTTGCTCGACTTGCAGCTGGAGAGCGAGGAGCGTTTAAACATCACCGACGAGGGTGAGCAACAGGTGCATTTAGCTAACTGAGCACTGTTTACCTCTCACGCACCTTCGCAGAGCGGGCGCGTGCCAAGGCGCACTTCTTTGTCCACTGCGGCCAATGCAATAAACTCTGCAAGGGCAAACTGCGTGTGAGATGCTCTCTATGCAAAGGCGGCGCCTTCACAGTGCATCGGGATCCCGAGTGCTGGGATGATGTGCTCAAGCCGCGTCGCATACCCGGCCACTGCGAGAGTCTTGAAATTGCGTGTGTGGACAACGAGGCGGGTGATCCGCCCTTTGCCGAGTTCTACTTCAAGTGCGCCGAGCATGTCTCGGGCGGTGAAAAGGATTTCGCTGTGCCCTTAAATCTAATTAAGAACAACATTAAAAATGTGCCGTGTCTAGCCTGTACGGAGGTGAGGTGAGTACTACATCAGCTCTTAGATGTCACTCTTACCGGCCTCTTTGCAGTGAAACCGTACTGGTCTTTCCCTGCGCCTCACAGCACGTCACCTGTATCGATTGCTTCCGCGACTATTGTCGCTCACGTCTTAGCGAACGCCAGTTCATGCCGCATCCTGACTTTGGCTACACACTGCCCTGTCCTGCTGGCTGTGAGCATTCCTTCATTGAGGAGATTCATCACTTTAAGCTGCTCTCCCGGGAGGAGTATGAACGCTACCAACGCTTTGCCACCGAAGAGTTTGTGCTGCAGGCCGGTGGCGTGCTCTGCCCGCAGCCAGGCTGTGGCATGGGCTTGCTTGTCGAGCCCGACTGCCGCAAGGTGACCTGTCAGAATGGCTGTGGCTATGTCTTCTGTCGCAATTGCCTGCAAGGCTATCACATTGGCGAATGYCTGCCAGAGGGAACCAGCGGGGCTGCTTCCAATTCTTGTGAATACACTGTCGACCCGAATGTGAGTAACTACTGCCTTACAAGTGCTTGTATAATCCTTGTATTGTATATCTCACAGCGTGCTGCTGAAGCTCGTTGGGAGGAGGCCAGCAATGTAACAATCAAAGTGAGCACCAAACCCTGCCCGAAATGTCGCACGCCCACAGAGCGGGATGGTAAGTTGCAGATTATGACTTTTACAACAGTGTTCGGTAAGCCTTCCTTACACTCCTTCCAGGTGGCTGCATGCACATGGTCTGCACACGCGCCGGCTGCGGCTTCGAATGGTGTTGGGTCTGTCAAACAGAATGGACGCGGGACTGCATGGGCGCCCACTGGTTTGGCTAAGAGTATGTTTTGTCTTGAGGACAAACTTTGTTAATTGTTTTTATTCATGTTCTACATCTGCTGGCTGTATTTGAAGACTGTTCAAAGTTATTTAAAAGAAAAGTGCATGTGTAGGTTAATCTGTAGTCCTCCACCAAGTGGCAAATAAAATTGTAAAAGTTATAGACCAATTATATTGTGATATACATATGTGTAATTCGAACTATGTAGAGTGTAATATATATTATATTATAAGTATAGCCATATAAGTATCATCTTTTTTATTCATTCATTTTACTTTCTTTGCCAGTTATCGCCTTTACCTTCACACCCTGTATGCCGTCTAGCGAATCAATAACAAAAACACCCTTGACTAGCTGCGTCTAACTGGGTATTTCACCATCCATCTGCAGCACCCTACCCCACTGTATTATGGCGTTGCGTGCGCACGCTTTGTTTACGTTTTTTTTTTTTGCTTTGCTGCTTAACCTCTGTAAGGCTGTCGCCCACAATATTTCTGGTGGCTTTGCTGTTGACTGTAAAAACCGCAAAACACAGCACGTGCATCTGGAGAGAGTGAGACTGCGAGAGAGCGCCTCGTACAGTTAGGTAGCAGTAAGAGCTCGCTCCAGCTCTCTCCCGGATTTAATCAATAATAATGGCGCGTATTGACCGTGTATATCTACATATGTATGTGTGACTATGTGAATGACTATGTATGTTTGCATTTTTTCCGGCATTTATTTAAWTACATAAGCTGTTATCGACTTAATGTTGTTATGCCGCCAGTACTGTATGCCCCCTAAAATGCGCTATAGTTTTTATCGTCTCTGGTAACATCAATAAAGCAGCCGCATACATACCCATTGATAACATGACTAGCACTGAACCAGGGAAACCCCCCGGGCGCTAGGTATTTGGCTGCGCACTCGCTCTCTTTCTACTCGGTCACCTTCTCGTGCGCATTTTGTTTGCATGTGTGTGTGTGGTGTTTCCTAGTTTTTGTTTTGGCTCGCTCTGTTTTTGTTCGGTTTCTGTTTTGTGCTCTAATTTCGTAAGCAAAGTAAGTGAATTTACAAATGACATTTGCGCGAGAGAGCGCTTTCGCCCCATTGCAATTGCCAAATGCGCGCTCTCTCGCACTCGGTCTTGCCCGTTGCCCGTTGCCCATTGCCTCCTTCACTCTCTCCCTAATGCGGCCTCAGCAAAAGCTCACTCGCTCGCTCGCCCCGTAAGCASCSCGTGTGTGTGGGCAGGTTGCCCATCGAATCGGGTCACACAGTTTGCGCTGGGTTCCCAGTGCAGCACAGCGGTTGGGCCGATTCTTTGTTGCTGTTGTTGTTGCCTTTTCCTCGCTTCTTTTCGCTATTGCTATTGCTTCTTCCCCCTTTCTATGTTGGTGTCGTTTCGCTGCTTTTTCGCCGCCGTCTTTTGCCAGCTTTGCTTCTTTATATTTCGGGGGTACGATGGCAATACTGCTGAGGCTGGCAGCCAGTGTATAAATGGTAGCGCGCCAGCCGTATCGCATTTCAGTCTACGTTGGACTTTGGCGCGCGTCGTACACGCAGCGCATACGTAACGCATTTACATTCAAGGGTTAAACAGTCGGCACCGCTACCGCCACTTGGCAATGCCCATGTGAATTCGAGTGTGTATTTGCTTGTGTATGTGTACATGTGAAGCTGAATACGAACGCGAATTTGTCTACGAGTGTTTACCGTTTGATCGTTTGCCTCTCTTCGATTTTTGTGCTCCGAGAGTGCGAAGAGTGCCAATGCATGAGAGAGCTCTTGAGTATTCACAATATATAAGTATTTTGAATTCGTATGCAACACTCTAAATATAACGGTATTTTGAATTGAAAAGATAAAAAACTGTCATTTCATAATTAAAAACAAAAAGTGAAATCATTTATTAAAAAATAAATAAACTTTTTGTCAATCAATTAGTTTCAAGTGAATTTTTCAGTAAGTTTATATATACATACTTTATACTAAAGTATACTCAATTTTTTCTTTCCATTTAAATTATTTTTGATATATTTTAAGAAATATTAGTAATTTTTAAAATAATTATTATTTTTTAAAACAGCTCTTCCAGCTTCGCTGCTCCATATCCTATGCTGCATTTTTTCACACATTCAAAGCTTGCGCTCGTTCACGCACTTGCCCCAATTATCGAAAAGCATCAATAACAACAACAAAACAGTAATGCATTAGCAACAGCAGATGCACGCACACACTCGCAGCCATACGCAGCTCTCAGTTAAAATTGCATTTAAAAAAAAAAAAAAAAAAACACTGCAACATACATTCGGGTACTGTCAATATTTGCTAGCTCAAGTGCGCTCGCATATCGTGACGTATACGAAGCGACGTCAACGTAACAATTACTACATATGCGTACGCTAGTATGTGTATGTGTGAGTACATACTTGTACTTGCCTGTGTACACCACTAGCATCAGAGCTTGGCAACAACTGGGAAACTGTTAAAAAAGTGGAGAGCATAGCAAAGCATTAAT